AGATAGAGGGGTGGAAGGGCAAACGGCCAGAGGGATGGAGGGAGAAATCAGCAAGAGTGCATAACCAGCATGCCACCAGTCCTTACATTAGGGATCGTAATACTTCGTATAGCATACATTATACGAAGTTATACGAGTGGGCGGGCGGGGGGGCGGGCGGGCGGTCTGGCAGACAGGCAGGCAGGCAGGCAGATCCGCAAAGAAACTCTGTGTCACAGGCAGGCAGGCAGGCAGGCAGGCAGGCAGGCAGGCAGGCAGGCAGGGAGGCAGGCAGGGAGGTAGGTAGGCACGTAGGTCGGTACGTCGTTCGGTAGGTCGGTAGGTAGGTAGGTAGGTAGGTAGGTATGTAGGTACGTAGGTAGTAGCCAAAGAGGCAGGTAGTCAGTAAGCAAGGAGGCGGGATGGAAGCAAGACAAACGGAAGCAAGGGAAGATTGAATGGATGGATGGACGGATGGATTGGAGTGAACAAGGAAGTAAAGGAGTGAAGGGGGGGGGACAGACCTGGGGAAGGTCGGGATGGATGCGTGGAGGGAAGGGGGGGGAGGGAGGGAGGGAGGATGGGAGGATGGGAGGATGGGAGGATGGGAGGATGGGAGGGAGACGAGGAGGGATGTAGGGAGGAAGGGAGGGAGGGAGGGACGGAAGGAGGAGGGTAGGTAGACAGGTAAGAGGGAGGAATATTTAGAGCGAGCACAGCAAGAGAGGGAGGGAACTCTTGACGGAGCGGGAGCGAGCAGAGAAAGAGGGAGCTGGGAAGGAAGGCACACAATAGGGAGGGAGGCAAAGAGAAATGAATAAATGGGCATGTGCAAACACAGATAGAGGGGTGGAAGGGCAAACGGCCAGAGGGATGGAGGGAGAAATCAGCAAGAGTGCATAACCAGCATGCCACCAGTCCTTACATTAGGGATTCGGAGTTAGCTTTTCGTTAATTGTTGGACATAGAAGAGGGGACTACTATTAAGTACTGGGTAGACGGCCAGAGGGATGGAGGGAGAAATCAGCAAGAGTGCATAACCAGCATGCCACCAGTCCTTACATTAGGGATTCGGAGTTAGCTTTTCGTTAATTGTTGGACATAGAAGAGGGGACTACTATTAAGTACTGGGTAGAGCACTATTGGAAAAATGCTTTCCAACGTAGCTTGGATGCACCAACTGTTTTGGCATGTTTCGTCTACTGTTAATTATGTTTCGATTCGTGTCATGCACGCAACAGTAGAAATAATTGGAAAACAGAGGGTAAACAGATGAAGTAACACGAAATTTTCTTTTTCTTTTTTTGAGAGTGTTTGTTTTAATAATCATCAAATATGTATTTGTTTTGTTTGTTTTGGTGTCATCTTATATCCACTAATGAATMAAATCAAYGTGGAAAAGAAGTCGCCCATCTGCCTTCTGTTCTGTGTGAATGACATTCACGCTTGTTTGTAGGCAAGCCCACTGGTTAAGTACCGCTTTCTCTGATGGAGACTCTAATCATTATTAGTATGCGCAACGTGCATCCCCGGACTGTGAATTCGGGGCTTTTCTTTTGCCAACGTATATTATATATGCTCACGTATATTAAGAGACATTGGTGATCGTTGCCCCCAAGTTTACAAAAGCAGCAGACATGAGGGCATAGGGAGTATGGCCTTTACCTCTGAAGACGGAAGAACAGGTCTGACTGTGATGTTCTGAGTTTGTCTTGTCACTGTCAGCGTGTAGTTGAACACAGCACTCTGAAAACCTGGTTCAAGAAAGCCTGCTGATATCCTCAGGCTCAGAAGGATGAGAGGTGATTCTGGTGGAGGAGGCACGGGAGGGGTCGGTGGTTTGGGTGATGGTGGGGATGGTGGAACTGGGGGTTCTGGTGGTTTCGGTGGAAAAGGAGGAGCCTCTGATGATTTTGGGGGTCTCGAAGAAGGAACTGGAGGAGGGATAGATGGTGGGATGGACGGTGGGATCGATGGCGGACCGGATGGTGGAATGGAGGGGGGAATGAATGGTGGGATGGAAGGGGGAATTGATGGGGGAACGGACGGTGGACTGGAGGGTGGAATGGACGGGGGAGTGGATGGGGGAATGGATGGGGGAATGGATGGGGGAATGAATGGAGGAATGAATGGGGGAATGGATGGAGGAAAGGATGGGGGAACGGACGGGGGAACACATGGGGGAACAGATGGGGGAATGGACGGGGGAGTTAACGGCGGAATGGAAGGGGCAACAGAGGGAGAAATGGATGGGTTGATGGAGGGCGGGATGGAGGGAGGGATCGAGGGAAAGGTGGACGGAGGCACAGAGGGGGAAACTGAAGAATCAGGGGAAGATGGAGCTGGAGGTATAAATGGAGGAGCTGAAGAAGGAATTATAGATGGAGGAGCTGGTGGCAGAGATGGAGACGCTGATGATGGAGTCAATGGAACTGAAGGAGGGGCAGATGAAGGGGCAAATGGATAGCTGGACGGAGATGCAGAGGAAGGTATGGGTTCTGTGGCTGGCGCAGAAGATGACGAAGGTGGTGAATATGGTTGAGGCCAGGATGATGCTGGTGGTTCAGGAGAAGATGATGGAGATGTAGACGGTCCCAATGAGGGTGCTGCAGAAGATGGCACTGCTGGGGATAAAGATGATGATGGCGAGGAAGGTGGCATTGAGGAGGGAGGCACAGGGGGATGGGGAGGAGTACTTTGAAGAAACAGTGAAACCCATGCAAAAGGCGGCACCCCCCCTTTGTTGGGACGAGAGAATGGTGTCCTCCAGTTGCATGTGATTGGCTGTACAGAAAGTGGGGGTGAGACAACTCTTGGAATGCAAGCATATGTTGGACAATCCTCGGTGCCCGCATCATACGCTGTCAGTAACACATGAATTCGGGGCTCCCACTCTCCACAGGGTGCACAAAGATCAACATCATGGAAACCAACAAACCTGCAACCACAGGGGAAAGTCAGTATATGCAGAGCTTCTGCCAAGACATACAGACACTGAATCTCTCAATCCAACAAAGGAAGTTTAATATGCACGTTCTCAACGATGCTGCAAGGAAAATGAGAGAGGGCAACATGACACAAATCCAGAATGCAAAATCACATTGAAAGCCAGAAAGTGCAACGCTGTCCAGAAAGCAGAAATGCACTGATATTCCACCAACGGAGAACCAAAGCACCGAATCCGTATGTCAATGAGAGCATACTCTCGCCACAACCGAGATGTGTATCCAGAGCCCTTCCTCCTATTCGGCGCTCAGCGCCCAGACTGCATTCACACAGCTACTACCAGCCTACAAATTGACACAACCTGTTGACGTCAGCAGCAACAACTGAAGTACATGAAGATGTCGTCCCTTTAGACCATCGCCAGGACCAGGTACATGCCCTCACATCATCATCCTCATCTCTCTCTCAATCTCACCCGTGACTTCTACACCCACGTCTTCACCCTCGTACACGAAGACCACCACCACCTCCGCTGGCCGCCCAAGCCGAGCCCGGCTGTGGATGGGCTGGCTATGGCGCGTCCCTCAGCAGCGTCCTGTTCCTTCTAGACGCCTGCGCGCGCCTGCACGAATGCGCTAACGCAGCATCCCGCTAGTGCTAGCTCCAGCAGCGCTGCTGCATCTGCACACAAGTGCCCGAATGCCTTGCCTGACGCCCGACACTTTCCTATATCGAAAGCGTTGGGTGCACGGCCTACCCTTTCCTGTCGGGGCCGAGTCCCCACTAGCTTCAGTCTCTGCCAAAGTGTCCACGCCCAGGCCCGTTCAGACAGTGGCCTGGGACAGAATTGGTTAGGCATGCCCAACCACCCAGGCTTCGACCATGTTGCCGGAAGAGCCTGGAAGGCTCACAAATATTTCCGATTGTCACGAGCACAGCAGAAGTAACCAACTGGCGCGTGGCAACTGTCAGGCGCTCACCAATATTTGCAAAAATTGACGAGTTCAGGGCACATTGAGATTCAGGGAGCACGCCTTCACTTAGGGCGGGCACGTGCCTGCTGCAGGGCCTTCTGCTGAGGGGTAAACCCTCGCACTCCCTCCTCCTTTCTTCGATAGACCTCTGAGAAGTCTTAATACCGCAGGCTGCTTCCCGTTCGAATTTCTTTCGTAACTTGAGATGATCTGGGGAGCAGTCTCCATTAGTTCTTCTCTGACGAGGCAGAGGAGGAGGCAGAGTAGCGAGGCTGAGGGAGAGAGAGGAGAGGGTGAGAGCACACACACACACTCACTCAACTCGACGCAGACTCGACAAGACTCGACGGACGCATACACGAGGTGGCGAAGTCGCAAAGTCGCAGTCTTCGATTCCCGAACACAATGTCGAAGCAAGTCACACTGACGCACCAGCACTAAGGCTGAAAAGTGAATGCCCGTACTGGGCTTGAGTCCGGTCTTAAGTACCGGACTCAAGTTCAGTCCGGAGGGCAGAAGTGCCATTGCGTCAGGACTGAACTGAGAATCGAAAGTCTGAGTCTGGGCGCCAGAATGTCGGATGGCGCCAAGTGTCGAGATCCAAAAGTGCCAAAGGAGGGATTCGAAAACGGGCGCCAACTGCAGAGGGCGCCAACAGTCAGAAACCGAAGAGCACGAAATTAAAAAAAAATTAAAAAAAATTGCAGGCTGGTGGGTGGTACCCAGCGGACCAGGGATCGAGCCCTGGCTGAGTCCGTAACACTATCCCCTCCCTCTAGAAGGCAACGTCCCGGCTGCCAAAAGCCATGAAACAATGTTGAAGTCTGTGAAGGACGGGACGGGGCCGATCACTGGTCAACATGTCAAAAGGAAGAGGGGTATAATGTGGGTGGCCTGGGTCGGGGAGCAAGAGGGAACAGGGTTATGCTGTCAACAAGTGCAAGGAAGATGAGCAATAGCGAACTTCAGCAATCAAACAGCATCACGTAGGCCCAGGGAGGCTGAGCCTCAGTCCGAAAGAAACAGGCCCAGGGCCTGAGGCGGTTACCAGCACCCAACTGCCCTCAGCCTTTGTTCGGTCCACTTTGTGTATCCTGCCCAGGGCCTGCCTTAGTTACATTGCAATGAAAGGCAGACTGGGCCTGGGTCATCCCAACCGACTGGCGCTGCGCAACTGCCTGAATTTCCCCAGTTGTGTGGTGACCCTGAAATGGCCTGTAGGGCCTCGGTCGTGCCTGCCTTCACTTAGGGCGGCCGACTGTGTGGAAATTGGGCCCTGTAGGGCATATCGAGGCCCTATGCCTCGCATTCCCTCCTCCATAGTGGTCTGCGTCAGTTCCCCCCATGTGAACCATCTATCCTCCTTTGGATCAGTGTGATGTCTGAACCGAACCCGGTACTGTAGCTTCGGTTTAGGAGGACGTCCTCTGCCTGTCGGTCTTGGAACTGGCATTTTCCTGTGATCAACAATGTTGTCGATGTCGACCTCTCCACGGTTGGGGGCAGCATAGAGCAACGAGAGGGAAACTGGTCAGTTTCCTTGAATGGTGCAAGCTTGGAGGCGTGAAAGACAGGGTAAGTGCGGAGATGACCAGGGATCCGAATAACATAGGATGGCCCATCCGAGTCTTCCCCAACAACATCTAGAACCTCCCAGGGTCCAAAGTACCGTGGCATGAGCTTACAGGAGATCCCGTGCTCCTGTCCCAGTTCTGAGGATTTTACCCAGCCTCTGTCCCCTATCTGAATGTAGAAGGGCGGCGGTGTTTGTTCTCAGCCTGCTGCATCAGTTGTTCATAGCGATAGGCAAACTCAAGGGTGCCGGGTGCAGCAGTTGACTGATTGTCAGGTAGCAGAAAGTCTACGGGCAGTCTGGGTTTGAAAGTCAGTAGCAGACTATTAGGACGTATTCCAGTTGCGCTGTGCACATCATTGTTATACAGGCTGGCGATGAGAGCAAGTTTCTCATCCTAGTCCACCTGATTGGGCTTGATGTAATGCCGCAACAGGTGTTGCACAGCGTGGTTAAGCTGCTCTGCTTGGCCATTTGCCTCGGGATGGTTCCCAGAAGTCATCTGCAGCTGTGTTCCCTGTTCTGCAGCTGCAGCCTTCCACAATTCACTTGTGAATCGGACATCCCTGTAACTAACAATAGACTCTGGGAGCCCAAAGTCTCTGACCCAGTTCTCTTTGACGAGTCTAATCACATACTTGGTCTTCCCTGTCTCCGGCATTGCAACTAACCTAGCGTACTTGTTAAACCTATCCACGATAACAAAGATGTGCCTCATTCCACTCTTGCTGGTGACCAGCGTGTCCATGAAGTCCATAGACAGGCTCTCACCGGGCCTTTCCGGAATTGGAAGGGGCTTGAGGAGCCCAAGAGGGGCCTGTGTACGGGGCTTGTCTCTCTGAAAGACCTGACAAGTCTCCACGTACAGCTTGCCATCGCTCATCATCGTGGACCACCAGAACCGCTGCAGCAGATTGGCTGCAGTCTTCTTGAAGCCAAAATGTCTGGTGGCATCATATGATACTCGCCTAAAAATAAACTACGCAAAGACTCCCTATCTGGCACACACAGACGTTTATTCCCTGCCTTCTCAAGGAACAACAGTCTGTTGACCAACTCAAACTCGGCAGAAGTCACTTTGTCCTTCGCCTCGAGTCTGCGTATGATCTCAGACATAAACCGGTCCTCGCGATAGGCTTCCACCATACAGCGAGCAACATCGTCCGCAAGCCCAAACTCAGTGATCAGCGCACCAGAGAAATCTGGTCTACGTGACAGCGCATCAGCAACCTTGTTGTACTCACCCTTGATGTACTGGGGCTCAAAGTCATACTGCTCTATGACTTCAATCCAACGCTTCAGAGCGTCGGAGAGCACAGGTTGGGTTCTCATCTACTTCACGGTCTGGTGATCAGTCCTGACGTAGAAGAATCTCCCAAGGAGATAGTGCCTCCAATGGGTGAGCGCCTTGTAGATCGCATAGAGTTCCTTCTCATAGGTGGACTTAGCCAACTTATGAGAGGGCATCTTTTTGGACATGTACTCTATCGGCCTCAACTTCTTCGCCTCCTGCTGCGCAAGTACGGCGCCTATGCCATATTGGCTAGCAACTTCTGACAGGGCATCTTTTTGGACATGTACTCTACTGGCCTCAACTTCTTCCCCTCCTCCTGCGCAAGTACGGCGCCTATGCCATATTGGCTAGCATCCGTAGTTACTACGAAAGGTTTGTCAGGATCAGGAACAGCTACCATTCCTATTGCCCCGACGCGTTTCCCGGAGCAGTGCCAGAACTGCTGGCCACATTGCTACCAACGGGAGCAGAGGATCCCAACGCCTGCCCAATTGTAGGCGGGATCTTTTCGGTCACCTTCTTACTGCGGCACTTGAATTGGTTGTGGCCATATTGACCACAAACGAATATAGGCCTGCCGGGGTACCTGTCTCCCCACACGTCCTCTGTGAGACCCGCTTTCTCCCATGGGGAAGCATTGGGGCCAACTTGACTCCTTGACCGGGAACCTCCACGGCGTCTACCAGTCGCCTTTCCTTTTTGAGCTACGACAGCGACTACTCCACCCCTTGAAGCCTCTACGCTGCCAGCCTCTGAACCTACTCCCTCCTGGAAGTTGTCATCTAACTCGATGGTTGAACCATCGTTATCGACAAACATAATGCGACCCATCGCCTTCCAGTTGGGAAGCAGTGACTTTCTCCTACCATCCGTCGTAGGTGTTTGCCCATGCCCTATCTTTGCCTCAAAATCTAGGGCCTTCTTGCTAAACGACGGAAAGTTGTGCATATTGATGTTGGCCTCACCTGCCAACTGATTTATGAGAGGCATTGGAAAGCATCTTAAGTAGGAGGTGAGTAAGACCTGCGGGTCATAGTGCACCCCAGGGACACAGATCAGACGCTCTACAACGTCAGTGGCCTCCCTTACTGGCTTCAACTGCCGGGTATGCAGTGTCAGGATCGCATCAGTAGCCTTCTGGGCTTTTTGAGGATCATGCCACCT